GTAACATATCAAACCACTTGGCTTAGGGGAAGAATGCCCAAGGGAGAGTGTGGAGGTGTAAGAAGTATCTGGGGAATATCTAAGGAGGCCTGAGGGAGAAGGGTGGAGATGCCTGTGAAACAGGGAATATATAAACTTGGAGAAACTAAGAGCAGCAGAGAATATTCAACTTGTGTGCAGCTGGTTGAGAAATTGGCTCCATCACCCGTTGGCCACCACAGCACAGACACTAAAACTTACTCTTTGGAAGGCCCAGCCCATCTCTGGGGACTTGATAATCCAGCTGCAGTATCTTAGCACAGCTCCCCAGCTTTTGGCATAGTTCAGCCTTTCCTGAGGTCAGAGAGGTTGATGGTGCTGATGGCTCAGTAGTGAGTCAGCTCATGTCCACTCTCTACATTCAGCATTGCTGCTGCTCTGTGGCTGGCAGAGAAGTGTGGGGTCATCCTGTGCTGCACCTAAACTGATGACTCCTGGCACCAGAGATCTGGGGAGTACAGTCCTAAACCATACAGAGGCTGATCATGGGCTTGCTGTGCCTTCCTGTCTTTCTTCACTATGCAGCATACTATCTGCTTTTTCTTCTGTCAAGGTTATACTGCTGTACCCTTGGTCCCTAAATAAAGGGAATTTCAGCTGCTGTTATTCTGAAACAATTTAGCTGGGATGAGAAAGAAGAAAAGAAGCCTTTGTAATTTAGAAATCAAAAAATAATAGTTTTTCATTCCATTTAAAGACTGTTTTGGCAGTTCCTGTTAGTCCATTCTTGTGAGATGGACCTTGTCTCCCAGAAGCCTTATTCCTTCTAGATCCTACTATTCAAGGTGATGCTTTTACCTAGTCCAGGATTAAGAGATGGTTTTGATCATTTTTCTGATTTACCACATGGATCATGAGTGTTGCTGCACCTATTCCAATGCTTCCTTCCATTACATGGTGCCTAGTAAAATATATGATCAGGCTTGTCTGGAATTCTGTATCCCTGTAATACTGGGAGTGCACTGAAGGTTCTATTCCTGAGTATCAGCAGCTGACTCTGTGCTGGCAAATCTGAGCTTATTGGCTGAGGGGTGTGTTTATTTTTAGTGGTTTAGTCTAGTGAGACTCCAGAGCTCTGTGATCTGAACAGACATGTCTAGAAGTCATGCTGGAGTACAGAGTACTGACAGGTTTCACTGGGTCCTCACAGGTGATCACCACCACTTTGTGATAGTCACGTAATTGCTATGAAATTCTTTTATTGAGCAAGAGAAATTAAATTAATCACTTCTCATACCTGCTTCCTCAGCAGCTGTGTAGAGACCAGCTGGCAATATGGGGCTGTCCTGCAGTTTCTTCTCTTCCTTAAGTGATTGGTTTGAATGTGGTCAGTACTGGCTTGGTCTAATATTGAGACTGCTGTTAAGCAGTCCCTCTCCTCTTGCTTCTGCCTGCTCATTTCTTTCTTGGAGCATGGTATATACCCCTGCTCCCAGTCACCACAGTACAACCACAACTCTTTGTAACAGGGGATGGGAGATCACAGAATCATAGAACTATTAGGGTTGGAAAAGCCCTCCAAGATCGAGTCCAACCATCAACCCAACACTCCCATGACCACTAAACCACGTCCCCAAGTGCCATGTCTACATGGTTTTTGAACCCCTCTGGGGCTGGGGGCTCCAGCACCTCCCTGGGCAGCCTGGGCCAAGGCCTCACCACTCTGCCAGGAGAGAAATTCTGCCTAATATCCAGTTGAAACCTCCTTTGGTGTAACTTCGTCCCATTTCCTCTCATCCTATCTCTGGTTCCTTGGGAGAAGAGACCAACCCCACCTCACTCCAGCCTCCTCTCAGGGAGTTGTAGAGAGCCAGAAGTTCTCCCCTGAGCCTCCTCATCTCCAGGCTGAACACCCCCAGCTCCCTCAGCCATGTTCCCCAGGGCCCTCACCAGCTTTGTTGTCCTTCTCTGGACCTGCTCCAGCCCCTCAAGTTCTTTCTTATCCTGTGGTGCCCAAAACTGACCCCAGTGCTCAAGCTGTGGCCTCCCCAGTGCTGAGTCCAGGGGTGTGATCAGTTCCCTTCTCCTCCTGGACACACTGGCTTTGATCCAGACCAGGATGCTGATGACCTTGGCTACCTGGGCACACTGCTGGATCAGATGCTAAGGAGCTTGTCAAGTCTCAAGTGTTTGTGCTGCTGTCTCATCCTGCCTGCCCTCATATTTTCTACAAGACTGCTTAGACTTCCCTTCTCTGTACCCCAGGAAAAGTCTGGTAGTTTTTCTTCAGAAGAGAAGTTCCTCTAGGCAGGAAAGCAAAGGGACCTGTGAGGCCTCAGTTACACAGAGGCCCGTGCACACTCCCAGGCCTCCCCTGAAACAGCCCCAAGTCCACCTTTGCTTAATCAGGAATCTACACCCTCAGGACCAACTTTTTAAGATCCTCTACTTTGGTTTCTCTTTCCAAACTATCTAGTGAGTGTTTCACTCATATGTGTTTCACTTCTAGAAACACCTATGTGTCCCAGGCTCAGTGGCAATAATTTAGGCTGACTTGTTTCACTCTTGTTAACTCAGTTTGTGACACCATTCAAGCTTTACCCCTGGAAATGGCCAAGTGAAATGGCCAGGAACTTTGAAAAGCATTTCTTTTTAACCTTTCTTCTTTTAACCTTCACAGGCACACCGTCTGTCAACACTTAGCCTTCAGTATGAGAAGAGGTTAACAGATGAGCAGAAAGGAGGAAGGAAGAGAATAAAGCTAGTCAGCAATACAGTAGGTGTCCACCTGGCTGTGCCATCCTTTTGCCTGCTTTAATTTGAATTGGAAATTTCCAAACAGGCAGATGACTGATGCCAAAACAATTGTGGGTTTGCTCCAAATTGTAAATATCCCTCGACACACATCTGAAATCTGTTTGTGTCATGCCCTTTCCCAAATCTAGACGTCACAGAGCCAAGCAAACACAGGTCCAGGTAGGGCTGGTAGATGGAAAGAATTGTTTTCTGGCATTGACTACCTTGTGAACAACTCTTTCCATTGACAGGGCATGGTGGGTGGTTTTGGGGTTTCTGATTACAATAGAATAGTTCAGTTGGGTGGGACCTACAGCCATCTAGTCCAACTGCTGGTAGTGCCTCCAATGCTATCCCTGACAGTTTTGCTTAGTAAGCGATCACGTCGTGACCCCACCCGTGGTGTGTCCTTGTGTGTGGTGTTTACAGCTCTGCATTGCTGTTTTGGCCTGTCTCCCAGCCCAGTGAACTCATTTTGCAGTGAGGTGCTTAAGAGTCACTATAATTTGATAAGTAATCCTCTGAGTGATGATTCCTACCAGTAGTTGTCCAAGGTACTGTCCTAACTGGGTGCTGTCTGCTGGGTAACTGGGAGTCTGACAGACAAATGAAACTGATAGAATTAGTCCTAGATCTCAAAGCTGATAACATCCAAGGGAAGGGAAGGGAGCAAGGTGTTAAGAAGGGAGGTTGTGTTTGAAGTATATTGTTGTCTGATGTCATGATGAGTCAGTCTAGCCCTTAAGGTCTGGAGTAAATATTTCTCATATTAAGTCTTCTCTGAAAAAATAGAATTGAGCAATCTGACTTGGCTGCCTGCTCTAGGAATATTCCCCTGAAGCAGTTGGGTTTGTCAGCAGAGAAGGTGAATAGCATCACTCTTCTGTGAAGGAATGAATGCTTAGATATTGGAGAGATTCATGGTTTAGAAACAGATCCAGTAATCAGCTGGGGAAGTGACCAAGTGCCTCGGAATTGCACCATTGATGCTGCTTTTGGTCACGAAGACACGTGACAAAGGTCCAGTGTTTTGTGTTCAAAGTGTGAGAGTACATTGCAGTGCACAGTCACTTTCATAAAGGAAGGGCTTTTCTGAACCCTTTCCAAGTCCCTGCTGCTTGTGATTATAGAAGAAGAATGTCTCCCAACATGAGAGAGTAAACTGGCTTGCTCACGTGCACAGTGTCTCCAAGAAATGTCACTGAGGTACCAAAATGCCCTAATCCTTTCAGTCGTTTGTATCTCCTGCTTCAGAGATTTATATTTTTTGGTTAATTGGACATTTCTGGGAGGCAGGCCAGTTAGATTTGTGTTTATTCTCTGGCACTCAAGCTGGTTTTGGGTGGTTGTTTTTTTTTGGGGGAAAGAACCTATGGATATTGGGGAGACTACCATAGTTGGAAGAGCCAGTGTCATGCTAGTTGAAAGCATTCATTGTTCTGTGTGCTGGTGGAGTTGGAAACGTGTTGCTTCCATCTGAATTCGTGTGAGAGTAACTCCTGCAGTGGCACCACTTGCTGAGAAGTCTCCCTGCCCTTGCAGCAAGCTGCTAAGAGGACAGACCTGACAGAGCCCAGGAAGGCCCGAGCCACGATGTACATCGCCACGGTGAAGGAGACCCTGAGCCAGCAGAACTACGACCTCTTCTCTAAGGCTCTTCAGCACTACAAGAAGACAGATGACTTCCCTGCTATGTTATCTCAAATGAGCTCTCTCTTCATAGAGGATGAAAAAAAGCATGTCTTGTTACGAGGTAGGATGACTTCCCTAGCATATTTATCTGACCTGACCTGTGTCTGTCAGATAGAGTTGGATGTTTCAGAGGTAAGTGATTTAGTTTTAAAGTACAGATCAGTCAGAACAATAACCAGGAACATTCTTCACTTTATATCCCCAGGTCACACAGAAAAATCTTCTCAATCTAATTATCATATGTTAGTTTGTGTGTTGACAGGCCTGGAAAAAAACTCACGTTCCACGGAAGGGTGTGTTATTTTTAACCTGGATAAAAGTAGCACAGTTTATTCCTTGTGATGTAGGAGGCAAGATCAAGAGTGTGGTTGTGCAAGTTGTATAACTGCATTCATCAGGGTTCAGTGTTAAAGCAGTAAATGGACAGAAATCTGGAGACATTTTCTAGTTAAGTAATGGTGAGCATAAAGCCAGTGATCTGGGCAAGCATGAACAGTTTACTGGTTTAGCTGATGTTTTCTTGGCTTTTAGCAGCTGCATTTACAAGACCTGGATTCCCACCAACATTTCTTCTAGTTTAATAAAGCTTTTTCTCTGAATTTTCATTTCCCTCTCAACTTGTGAGCCAATGGGCAGGTTTTTCTGTGACTTTTCATCTAGTAAAATAAAAAAGCGTAGTTACACATCTTGTAAATTAAGGTTAACTTTCAAGTTCAGGAATGGGAAGTTTAGTAGGAGCATTTAGTACTAGGAGTAGCCACAATCTGTTTCCCATTTTGCTGATCTTACTGTAAGAATAAGAAAATATTCAGTTACTCAAAGTATCAGCCTAGCAGAAACTCTCTCTCTGTGGTTTATGAGGTAGCTCATGACCTTGTGCTGCAAGTACCTGTTTCACCCAAGAGGTAAGCTGGTTCATATTTACAGTGGAAAAATGTATCCTGCTGGAAGTTTGATAGCTGACCTTTGTGTAACTTATGAGTGTGCTTATTGTACAGATATTAGATAATGACATTTAGATTTTAAGTTATTTAACCACACTTTTATCTTCATGCCACCTAACCTGGAAGTTCTGCCATTGTAGTTTTCTGTGGCATTTATTACCTGTTGTGAACTAACTTTTTCTTTATTTTTTTTCCTTCTTCTCTCTGATGGAAGAATTTTACCAGTTTGTTCGACCTCACCATAAAAAGCAGTTTGATGAAGCCTGTTGCAGTCTGACTGGAGTAGGCTGTGGCTACAAACCTGAGCACAGCCTCCTGCGGGAAGAAAGAGAGATACTAGCCAAGAAAATAGGTGAGGAGCTGGTTTTGGCAGCCTGCAGGTGGTTGTCTCATTTGATGGACACTAGCCTGTCATAGAGCAAGACGTGTGTAATGTGTAGAAATGTGCCACCAGCATGGTGAACAGAGGGTAATATTGTCCTCACAGAGCTTGTGAAATCTTTGAAACCCTGGAACAATAAAGTCCTACCAAAAGCAGAGTATTAGCTCATCCCCTCTTATCAGAGAATTACATCTGCCTCTTTCAGCACAGAACAGCATACTTTAGCACACACCATTCTGTGTTCATTCTTAGCTAAGTTCACTTTTAATGTGCTGGTTTGATTTAACAGAAGAAAAACAGAGCCAGCAGAAAACTGCATCCTCAAAGGACTCATGTGCTCAGCTAAACCCTGGGCTCCACTTGAACCAAGGAGGACTCCACTTGACAACAGGGCTGAACAATGCAGGTACCCTTCATCTTAAATAATCCCACAGTCCCAAGGTAATACAGGTTGTTTTGTCACTGCCTCAGTTCTCCTGGTGGGAGCTGCTGGTTTTTGAGCTCACCTAGAGCAGCAGCTCACTGGCTGTAGGGAGGAGCGATGGCGATTCAGAGTTTTCAGCAAGGATTGTACAAAATGAAACACAAAAGCCAGTAAATTAAATCAAAGTGGATATGAAAGAAACCAACTCAATCCAGAAGCTGGCACTGGAGCCTGAGGTTATGTCAGTGAGGGAGAGGGGGAGTTGAGCACCAGACTGGGCTTCCTGTTTGGCCAGGGCTCATCAAAGAGCCGCTCCAGGAGTGGAATTTTACTCTGAGTCAATATGAATCTAGGTATAAAGGAAACAGTTCCTGCTGTGTTATTGGAAATGGGGGCACTCCTCAAGTGGGAAGTCCACTTTTTCTGCAGAAACAGAGACCAGCAAGTGCATTCACACAACTGCACGTAATCTTTGTGTGTCCCTCTAACCTCATGCTGTCCAGTATTTACCTTTGGAGTCAAAGGCTCAGTTATGATTTCATTACAGATCTTCCTGAGAATAGCTGGGGATTTTTTTGTTTCTCACAAGGAAATGAGTAGGACAGCTGGACAGCTTAGGAATCTTTCTTTAGAGGAAAAGAATAGTAAAAAGCTATTCCTTTCCCTTTTTTTTTTTTTTAAAAAAAAATGTAAAATTAAAAGCCTGTGTTTTCTGGAAGGCTTTAAAAGCTTTTCATTTATGAAGTCAAGTTCTTCCTTTTGATTTGTTTTGTTATTTTGTTTGAATTTATGAACATTTAAAAAAAAAAAATTGAATGTTTTGTAATTATTTTTTCCTGATGTCCATGAGACTGATTTATTGCTGTTATTTTCTCAATTCCTTTTAGTCAAAACAAGTTCCTGCAAAAATCAGTGTATTATTTCTGTTGCTCACTCCTTAAGTAGAGGATGCTCCTATGGAAGTGTCCAAGAACTGTATGATATGCCAGAAAAGACAATGACCTCCACGCTGTGTCTTCTGTGTCACCTTTTCCTCATTTCCTAGTGACCAACTGAGTATTTAAGAGAGCATCTTCTGGAGTCTTTTGATAAAAACAATCCCCAGAGTTAATTTGCTCCTTTGCCATTTCCCAGAGCAGGTCTTGGCTCTGCCCAGGGCCGTGCCAAAGGAGGTGTGTAGCTCTGCAGGCAGTGTTGGATTGACTGCTCTGAAGCAGTCCAGGAACCTTCCTCTGAATGAAAAGAGGAGTCAACACAAGGGAGTGACCTGTTTGTTCTTCCCCAGGCCCTGCTCACGTGTGTTCTCTCTGTCTCAGGGCAGGATGCCAGTCAAGCTCCAAGGAAAGACACTGAGAAAGCTTCAAGCTCTAGGAGAGATCACCACCAGGTCCTCAGGACTGCCTACCTCACAGACATGAAAAGGGCTTTGACCAAAAGCACTTACAGCCAGTTCTATGAAGCATTGTTGGCTTACAAGAAAACTGATAACTATGATGCCATGATATCAGTCGTGGCAGCCCTCACCACTGAGAGGCCAGAAGACTTTCACCTCCTACAGAGTAAGGGGTTTTCTTTTCAAATTACTGTTATTAGTTGAAAAGAAGATGTAGGTGAGAGAAATAAGCTTTCACTGGTCATTAGTTGGCCAATTTCACTACTTTTAGGAAAAAACTTCTAGCACTAGCAGACTTCACCTCTCCCATCTTCTGGTTTAGCAAACCAGATAAATGGAGCAGCAGGAGAGGTTTGTATGAGTGTCATTCAGAGAGTAAAACATGTCAAGGCTGTAAAATGTTATCTCTGTTCCATTAGAAATTATCTAATGCTTTTAATGGACGTCAGTCATTCCAGTTCTAACCTTCACTCAGGCTAACCTGAGTCAAATGATTTCATTATCTCTTTTTCTCCTCAATTAATACAAGTGATTGCTCTTTAGAAAAGATGTTGGTGAGTATTGAAATGCCTCAGTTTTGTCCTCATGACCATTGATTGCTGTGTGGGTGCTAAGCTCTTAGATCATTTCTGGGTTTTGGGTTAAGCAATCACACTTTTGGTTCACTGTCCTTCTACAGAGCTTTCCATGGAAATAGTTATGGAACAGTGTTATAATTTAGTATCTTCATAATTTATAATAGTCTTCTAGAAATGTCAAGCTGATACCTATTTTCTCAGTAGTAGTTTGTTTTGGGGTTTTTTTACCCTTCATGGATTTAATGATGAAAGGATTTTGGAAGCTACAAGTTTTAAAAATTTGAAATTGGGCTTTATTGTTTACAAAAAAAAAGAAGAGGAAGGAATTCTATGGTTGTCTTGATGGAGACATCTTGCCTTGTCCTTTGCAAGACTTCAGTTCCACCTTCTTCCTGGTCCCTGGTGTGAATTCCTCA